ATGAACCCTGGATTTTTTTTTGGGGGGGGGGGGCTGGGGGGTGTTTTGAAAGGTGACCTAACACGGAACCATGAGGGACGCCGTGCGCCAGCACAAAACACAAGCATTGTCACACATGTTAATAGACCCTGCAAAAGAGCCGAGACGCATCCGGTGTGAAACTTCAGCCCCCCACCCCGAAACAACGGAATTCACAGGTGGCCATACGTCAGTAACTTTTTCCTAATTTACACGGGAAAGACATCCCTTCTTTCACGCAAACAGATTCCAGGCATGGGCCTGTCTTTCCCTTTACTGCCCAACACCAGACACCAAAGTGCTTCGTCAATGCGCTTTCAACAGCGGTCACAAAGGTAGTGAACTCACAAATGTATTCAACAAGCTAAACTCACTAATTCCGTCAGCTATCTAACAAATAATTTACTGACACAATAAACTCACTGGGCACACTCGCGCAACTAATTCACCCATATTCTCATTCTTTTACTAACTTATTCTACTAACTTGCCGACGAAACGAATTCACCCATAAACTTAGCCGACTAGCTAATTCACAAGCCGACTCAACTAAAATTCATCTTCAACCGGTAGTGGCGCCATCAGTTCCACTTACCTTGCCCACTTGACAAGTCAACACAACGTCAGTCAAGGCCTACGCGACATTGATCAATGCGACATTGGGCTCAAAACAGGCGTTGGGAACGATCAAACAATTACGCTTGCCTATCCCTTGTATTGAGCATGAATATCCAATCATAAGAATATTGATTATTCATCGTGTACATCCATTATTTGGCAGGAAAATATCCATCCATTTTCACGCTTAACCTCATCAGAGCCGATCCCAGCTGACTTTGAGCGAGAGGCACATTTTGACAAACAATCATTCATTCACGCTTCGCTTTATGGACAATTTGGAGTCCTCAATAAAGCTAACATGAATGTTTTTGGATTGTGGGAGGAAGCCAGAGGACACATTTCCGCCTCAGAAAAGTGAGACAGTGCTCACAATTTGGCTTTTCAAACGGACGTCATTTTGAGAGGGCAAATATATTTTTTCCCTGTGTTGTTTGGCTGAAAGCCGCCATCCTCAAAGCCCATCATCAATTATAGAAGCGATTCCCCTTCTGTGTTAGCATTTCATGAAACCCAAACTCATCTGTTTGTACAGTACGACCAAGCGAGCTCACACCAGCGTCAACATTTCAGCAGCCGTGAAACCAGCTAGCACTGATTGGTATCGATCCACTATCGACCGTAAATAGCAGTTTCAGCTGAAATAATAATAACCGAAGATGTGTTTCACCAGAAAATGGCTTGTATCAAGTAGGGCGCTTTCCAAACAAATATGCATATATACATATATATATATGTTCGAGAGAGAGCGCGAGAGAGTTTGACGGTTATAAAATATATGCACGTGCTGGTGTTGAAACGCTTTCTTGGTGTATGTTTAAAAAGATACATTTTCACAATTTGTGACGTCATGTTTTTTTTTTTTTTTTTGGACCAAGTAGCAGATTCAGCACAATTCAACGTTCAATTCAATCCAACTTATGTTCACCCAAATAAGCTTGTTCGTCACTTAGTCTGAACGGGCATTTCGACATCGAACTACAGTATTTCAAGCAGACAACAAAGATGAGCTGGATGGACGCCACATCAGAGGAGCTTCGAGCCGGAAAAAAAGTGTCTGTCAGCTCGACTGCGACCAGGCGAGTATCCCGGTTGGGCTCCGAAGTGGAAAAGTAGGAAAATTGGGGGACACGTACGAAAGTATGCTTTAGTAGAGGAGGAAGACGACATATCTCTGAACTTACGTGAATCTGAGGATGCTGAGGGAAGCTTTTTAAAAACTCTCACACGACGATAGATGACGACTCCCTTTGTCAAAGTGGCTGGACGTTTACCCCTTTTTAGGCGTGAGATGAGAATGGGGAAAACTTTCCCTTTCCCTTTCCTTCGAATCGGCTGCCTTTCGCTCTTTTTGGTTCCACGTCCTCCGGCGGACCGCAGAAGAATGAATGGCCGTCGCCAAGGTCCACCAAGTGGGCCAGCCCAGGCGGTGGCGAACCGCTGCTTCGGTGGGCGTGATCAACATGCCGGAGAGTCACCAATCACAGACCGGACACCAGTAACAACAAATCCAAAGCGAGCTGCCGTGGAAGGAGCCAATCAGGACAACGCTCGCGTTCCTCATTATGGGAGTTGGGCAAACCGCTTCGATAAAATTCAAATATATAATGATAATGTAATATATGTTCATGTGTTGAAAAAAATATTTTAAAAAATAATGTAAATAATCAATTTGCGGGCAGATTAGTCACCAATGAAAGAGCGCTAAGAACCAATCAAAAGCAAGCCGCCGCGTAAGTAGCCAATCAGGATGCCAGCAGCCGCGATTTGTGAGGAAAAAGATCGAATTTTTTTTTTTAATGTAAACACTTTAGTTATTTTTTTCCCAAAAGCGTAGTAATAATAACAAGAATAATATGAAATAGACACAAACACTATGAACAGCAGCAAGGTTGCCACATCTGCCTCAGAGTTCTTCGGTTGGAATCTCAACGTGGCCAATTTTCCGGGCGGAAGCAGACATCGCCAACCAGGGCACCAGCAAACGTCATTGTGGTTAGAAACAAATTATTTGATGATTAGATTTTATTTAAAAATAGACAGATTAAAATATAATACCACTATTTACAATAATACAAATACCCGTTATAATTTAGTTCATTTTGCAAACGATTAAAACATATATATATATATATATATATATATATCAAAGAAATCATGACAAATAAAGGTGATGATTGAAAAAAATATAACAATTGAATAAATACTATGAATATACCATGCTCTTTCCATGCTATATTCTATTTTGTATGTAAGCATATTTCCTTTCAGCTCTACAAAAGGATGACTTGAATATCTGAAAGCAGCTGAGTGCTTCCCTGTTGTCATCCGGCTCTGCGAGGCAGCCATCTCTGTTTCAATCCGAGTCTTAACCTTTTGATCGGGGAGGCTAACAGCTGAGTGGATAGCTGACATTCTGAAGGGCTCCAAAATCATTTTGTGGCCCACTAAACCAAATCAAGTATGTCTACTTTGTGTTTTTTTTTTTTTTTTTTTTTCCCAAACCACGCTTTGATTTGCAGCACAACATCTTGGAAATCAGTCCTGGATGAATCAAGTCTCCTCTCTCAAGATGTAAATGATGATTTTGGGACACAAAGCAATGCACCGGGTCACTTGAAACTAATAATTCGTAATAGCCAGTGTTGTTTTGGTTGTCGTTTGTTGGTTTGTACATAAGGAGGATTCAAGAAAAAAAAACAACAACAGTTTTGTGTGTTACGTTGTGGATGTGTGGCAAATGTGCCAAACAAGAGCCCCATTCATCATTGTTCCTAATCAAAACAAAATTGCGAACCGAGGATTTTTTTCGTCTTCCTCACGAGTCACAATGGGACAAATCCGATGGTGCCTTCAATATAAATTCCAGTCACATTCAGAGAGTATTTTACTGTGCCTAAAACCATTAAATTGTGAGTCTAGTCAGGCACCTTTGTGCAGGTCCGATAGCCACACTAAACTCCGAGCCCTTCAGTCCTCCGCGAAGAACTCTTGTGAGACTTGACCGTTGCATCAGGAGGGCGATGGCAACACTTAACGGCCCTAACTGCATTATTAGCTTATAAAGTTTGATAGGACTCCCTGCTCTATAAATTTAAGAGACAGGGGAAGATGCAGTGGGGCTGTTAAGATGAATTGTCAGTTTAATAATTTATGTTGGGGTTAAAAAAAAAAAAAAAAAACCACAACAAAAAAAAAAAACTGATTCATCATGAAAATCTAAGTTTAAACACCTTCAGCAGCAATTCCAGCTTCACTTCTGAGAACTGAAGTTTGTTTCGACATTATTTAAAACAACTACAGCTTTATCCATTGAGCTTAATGCTAACAAACACATAAAATGCCAACAACAGGCTAACGAATAGCATCAGTGTTGCTGTATTGTTTCCCTTTAAGCAATGGATATTTGACGCTACAATACTCACAGGCATAAACGATAAACATTTGTATTAAACTCCTGCCCGGTGGCTAAGGCATCCACACCAGACAGAGTACCACAATGTCCATTGAATTGAAGCAAAAAAATGGGGCGAAATCATCACATTCTTGATCATTCTAATACACGCTATGCTTCTAATCAAGTACAATTTGAGAGAGCCATTTTCCAGGCCAAGGTTTCCCCCTAGTACTTTGTAACCCTTGGGGGCCACCAAGCTTTTTTTGCCAACGGAACCTGCGTGGATCGTCGTCGGGTCTGGCAGGCGCATCAGTCGCCGCGGCAAAATAAACAAAAGCGGGGATGCCGAGCTCGACGATGGCTAGCATGAGGAAAATGCTAACGACTCAAACTGCGCTGCAAAGCCTCTCCAACTCGACACGAGATCCTTAACACACAAAACGGATAAATTGGAACAACAAGAAGTGGGAAAAAATCGCAACGTTCGGAAATGTTGCATTTGATCAATCACGGAACCGGGCGACACGCTCAGATTTCCCACGCTTCAGTGCGAATGTACTTGGGGCTCACCGCAGCCCAAAGTGAAGTTTCATCGGCAGATTTTGAGGTCCAACAATGCACAGACTACAACCAACGCTAGCTTTATTACACACTTGCGACCCTGCTGGGGAGAAGTGGTTCAGAAAAGGGATGGATGGATCGCAAATGCGATGACATCGCACGGTCCTAATAGTCATTAATCCCTATTGGAATACCAGCGGACACAGCTCATTGAACAGCAGCGATGGGAAGCCATCTTTTTCAGCATTTGTTTCTAATTTGGTCCTTGAAAATGTTTTTGCATAAAAATGACGATTAGCACTAAAACCATCGGCGTCCTGCATTGATTTCATTTTGCAAACGATTAAAACATATATATATATATATATATATATATATCAAAGAAATCATGACAAATAAAGGTGATGATTGAAAAAAATATAACAATTGAATAAATACTATGAATATACCATGCTCTTTCCATGCTATATTCTATTTTGTATGTAAGCATATTTCCTTTCAGCTCTACAAAAGGATGACTTGAATATCTGAAAGCAGCTGAGTGCTTCCCTGTTGTCATCCGGCTCTGCGAGGCAGCCATCTCTGTTTCAATCCGAGTCTTAACCTTTTGATCGGGGAGGCTAACAGCTGAGTGGATAGCTGACATTCTGAAGGGCTCCAAAATCATTTTGTGGCCCACTAAACCAAATCAAGTATGTCTACTTTGTGTTTTTTTTTTTTTTTTTTTTTTGCCAAAGCGGAGGCGATCTGGAGGGCAGAATTTCTCTCTTCTGGACTGGCTTCTTAAAAGATTTTTGTTGGTCTTCTCCTATTGACGCGACAGTTCAAAGGTCGCTGGCCCTGCATGAGGGCTTGGGGGGAGGGGCGTCTTATTTGGAGAAGTCAACCGTCAAGGGGTCAAGGTTCAAAACGCCCAAGGAAAATGAGATTCTCCAACAAATTCCTGGTTTGCAAGTAGAACTCCAAGCCAAATTCCTGACCCACTGACCACAAATAGCGTGCTAACCCCTTTGGCAACAGTGCAATGCAGCTCTGATAATACATGAGATTGCAAATATGTCCCAGGAAAAATGTCCAAGAAGTGGGTGTCAATCACCATCCCTCTGACCATTTTAGGCCCAGGGTCCCCAGGCTCCAGTGGGGCCCGGGTCGCAGCGCGGGTCCTCGTCGGGGAAGTGGACGGGCAGGGCGCTCTGCTGGTGGTGGCTCAGGCGGCCCAGGAGGCGCTCGACCACGGCGGGGTAAAGAGCTGACACCTCGTTCCTCTCCTCGGGGTCCTTGAGCACGTCGAATAGCATCACGGGCTTCAGGGGCTCCGAGGCCCCCGGAGAGGACCCGTTTTGGCCGGGTCGCGGGAACCAAACGTCGCAACCTGGGCCGCACCAAAGGATTAAGTGTGGGCTTGGCTTTTTCTTTGGATTTCTTTGCCTCAAAGGATTGAGGAGGACCATCGCCAGGTTTAGCTTTGTCACATCATTGGACAAACCGCATTTTCTTGGACTTTTTCGCACGAAAGGCTCCAACACCGAGTAACTCTGTTTTGTGGCATTTTTGCATGAAATAAATGTTTTTTTTCAGTGTCTTTGGCATGAAAAGATGAGCTCTCGTTTGCTTTTTTTGGGCTGCACTTTTCTTTTTTCATTTTATTCCATATAGGAGGAGAAATGTATTTTTGTGGGGTTTTCTTTGGCATGAAAGGATTAACTCTGCCACTGTCTTTTTTTGTCAATGGCTTTTGCGCTGGACCCACGTGGCACTCACCTGGGTATCCCGTGAGCAGCTTCCAGTTTGAGGATCTGATGGCGGCGTGGACAGACACGTTGAAGCCGGACCGGAAGACTCCTGCGTCGCCATCGAACGCTCGCAGACGCTTCGAGCCGGGACCTGCATGCAGACCGGGACACTCACAGCGTAGGTTTGGAATATATTCCCTTCGTCCGACTCCCCCCACACACACATAGACACACACACTTTTTTGACAGTTAAAATATGACCTCAAACTTTTGTTTCATGATGGTGTGATGACCCTGCAACAGGTGATTTCGGTTTACATAATTTCCAATGGGGAAAATCATTTGGGATTTCAATTGGAGCGTGTTTTAGACTTGCATGAAAAAAAAAAGAGAGATAAGAATGACGATTTATTGAAGAGAACAAAGCAGTCACGAGACCCGTTTCTTGGAAGAGGCCCTACAATCACAGAGCCTCAACCACCAAACTGTCACGGGTGGGGATCGAATGTCAAGAAGCTCACATTTAAGTGTCGTTGACCGATTCCCCTTTCGACACCGTACTCTGCACTTTCCGTCTTCGTAGTGTTCCTCAGGGCCCGACACAACTACCAAGACCATCTCACTGACAGAAAGTCGACACAAAGAAAAAGTGGAGCCGAGGCTGAACTGTCAGCAACTCTCGTGTTTGCGAGGGGGACGAGTGTGGCGCTTGCGCGTCATCGACTTACACGGGGCGATATCGTTGTACATTGGGTCAATGTTGTGCAGCAGCTCCAGTCTGGGCGAGGCAAAGCCTTTGCTGTAATATAAACAAAGGTGTGTCAAACATACACACGCACGGGGTGTGTAAATCAAAAACAGCACACCCACCCGTAATGTGCGGCGACCGCAGCGTCTGATAACACAAATAACTCTCCGCCGTCCGCCTGCTTTCGCTCTCTGCGGCCAATTAGAAAGAAGCGCGCAGGCGGCGGCCGACCGATGGGCGGCGGCCAATGGGAGCGCAGCGCCGGGACGCAAGGGAGCACTTTGTGGTGTGGTGACCTTCGGTTTCACCTCCTCCTCCACCGCGTCCACAATTAGGCAGCGAGCAAGAAGAAGTGCTCGTCAAAGCGGACCCTGCCGCCGTGAAGGAAAGACAAACGCGCAGTCGTGCGGAATGTCCGATGTTGGGCCTTCTTGCATCAACCAAATGAGGACTGAATGATTTGGAAGAAAAATCAAATGGCGATTCTCTGCCCCCCCCACCACCCCCCCTCAATACTGTGATTGCAATTTTATGTGTGATTATTTTTATTCCAAGGTCCCCTTCCCATATATTTCTCTTAAGAAACACAAGCCATAAATTAATCTGTATTATAATAAACAGGATCAAATTTAGTCAACATGATGAATAGAACGATAAACGGCCAACAGATGGCAGCATTGGTTCTCTTTTGGACGAGACCGCAGCGTATCGAAGCGCAAGCTCCTGACCATGGCAGATCTTTTGACTGTTACAAGCAGCTTGTGATTGATTACGGACACACACAACTAGATACTACGACGACTATTAAACAGCATGCAAATAGTTTGAAAAGCCGTCAAATGTAAAATTGATATCGTGGTGATTTTTGTTGTAAACACATTATTGTGCCATGAAAAGGCCAGTTCGGATGTCAGCGGCATCACAAAAGCAATAATCATCAAGCATCCGTCACCTGATAGTGTTCCAAACGTCGAATCCATCTAGAGGCTTGGTGGCGTTGAGGCGGCCCCCCGCCAGTCCCACCAGCGTGGGCAACCAATCGGAGACGTGGACGAGCTCCCGGCTGGCGCTGGCCGGCCGCTGGAGGAGCGGGCCAGATACGAATCCCACCCCGCGGACTCCTCCCTCCCACAGCGACCACTTCCTGCCTCGCAGCGGCCAGTTGCTGGCCCCTTCAAGCGTCTGGCCGCCGTTATCTGTCCAAGGGACCGAACCGTGACACAATTCAGAGCAAGCAGCTGATTTTTTTTTAGGGGGTGAGGGCGTTTTGCTTTGCTTCTTTCACTTGTTTTTTTTTTTTTAAGGGCGTAATTCCACAAAAGTTGATCAATTAAGTTCACATGGTAATTTGTTTCAGAAAAAGGTGCACCAATATGAGAATAAAGTTGTTTTTTGGACTATATAATTAGAATTTATGATCCATGAATTGGTGGTGTGCATGCGTACCTGTGGAGAAGACCAGGACAGTGTTGGCCCAAAGTCCGGCCTGGCGCAAGGCCAGGCTGATGTTGCCCACCGCCTCGTCCATGGCCGCCACCATGCCGGCGTACGCCCGGCGACTCGGGTCGCGGATGAAGGCGTAGGGCGCCACGTAGCGCTCGGGCACCTGTAGGGGCGAATGCACGGCCTGCAGCGCCACGTAGAGGAAGAGAGGCTGAAACAAAAGCACAAAAGTCTTGATATTACAAGAAGAGTCATGATGTTTCAAAAAAAAAATCATTTAAAAAATAAAAATAAAGTGGTATATTTGTCAAGACAAACACGTTTCGTGTGTGTGTGTGTGTGTGTGTGTGTGTGTGTGTGTGTGTGTGTGTGACTGGTCAAAGACACCCAAGTCACCAACAATTTTTTTTAACCTTATCTTGATAAAAACTGAATGTATTATCTCTGTATTATTATGATTGCTGTTGTTATTATTCTTAGCATTTCTGTTAAGGCTGCGCTCACCTTTTTGGGGTCGTGTTTGGCGATGATCCGGACGGCCCTCTGGCTGAACAGCTCAGTGGAATAAGCGCCTTTGTATCCCGGTGCGGCCGCTTCCTCCTCCCGCAGGTCCAAAGCGCAGCGGCTCGAGTTGAGGGCAGCGATGGGGCTACAGCGGATGTGAGTGTAGTAGTCCTCGCTGCCTGTCAGGTAGCCTGGGGAACACATCAAAAAGCGGCATTAGATATCTGAAGGGAAGAAGGCGGCTGCACAACTGTCAAGCGAACAAGCGGTCGCCTGGCACGGAGACGTGAGGGGAACACGTGGCGCGTACAAACCAAAGAAGGAGTGGAAGCCGCGGCGCGTGGGCAGGCAGTCCTTTTTGTACATGCCCAGGTGCCACTTGCCCACCATGTGCGTGGCGTAGCCCGCCTCGGACAACAGCTCGGGCAGGAACGTCTCGTCCAGCGGCACGCAGTACGGCTGACACGGCCAAATAATCTGGTGCTGCATGCCCGTGTGGATCTGCCGACGTCAAACACGCAACATGCTGGTGAAAAAAGACCAACCCAGGGGCAAACGACAGTGGCCACGCCAAAGCCGCTTCTTATTTCACCGTCTGTAGGCGACAGCGCTGATGCGAGCGGGAGGCTCTGTATCACTTTTGGATGGATATTTCAAAAGGGAAATTCACCCGAACCACCATTGCCTTAAACGATTTGAAAAGGCGTCATGGTGGCTGGGGGGATACCTTTATTCGGAAAATATTTTATTTTTTTTAAAAAGGACAATTGAGAAGCCAAGGTATCGTATCGGTATTCGCAGATGCACTCAAAATAATGTGAATCTGACTTGGGGGCCCCAAAATGTGATCAGGGAACAGTAGGTAAAGCAAGGCAGGGTTATTCAAATGGCAACATTTATTCAGAAGGCAACTCAATGTGCTTCACACAATCAAAAGTAAACCATTCACAGACTAAACCGACATTCAAAAACAAAAACTAGCTTCCCAGAATCCCCATTATTATTGTCAATTATCACCATGAGCACGCTTACGTGGCCGTGGATTTGCTAAGGCCCCAAAGAACTCACTGGGTTCCGGGTACACCGGTGTGTGACGATGCCGGGTGCAGTGCGGTTTCGTTCGGGTGTCTCACCTGGTAGCGGCCGGTCATGAGCTGATTCCTGGACGGGGTGCAAAGCGGCTGGACGTAGTAGTTTTCCAAGCGGACCCCCGCGGCCGACAGCTTGTCCAGGTGAGGCGTGTTGATCTCCGAGCCGTGGTAGCCCACGTCGTACCAGCCCAAGTCGTCCGCCAGGATGAACACGATGTGCGGCTGCTTGGAGCCCGACGCCGCGGGGCAACAGACGGTCAAGAGCAACGCGAAGAAAGGAAGCTTCGCGGCCATTATCGCCCACCAACTGTGGCAAAGCGGAAGTGGCTGTCGCGACACAAAGTGAAGTGGGAAGACCGCCTTGTGGTTTGAACAGTTCAGGGCCGCACAAACATATGCGGATGTCAATGTTTCGTAAAATTCCTCTGAACTAATCGGCACATTTTGCTGTGAAAAGGGGAAGCCACTCAAGCCACTTAACCGCCGCTCCTTTTCTCCACGACGCTTGAAAACGCTGCTGTCGACTTAGCAGCCAATCAGGTGACGGGAAGGAATGTCGCCCGGGTCACGTGACGAATCCGGAAGTGGTCACCAACAAAACGGAAGCGTCGTTGTTCGTGTTCGACACCATCACCATAATGATTATTTTTACTTTTTTAGTTGAGATCACGGAATGAAATAAGAATGTAATACTTTCACTTGATATGATGTAGTTGAACTAAATACAACCACTATGTTGCATTGTTTTACTAATATAGTAGGAATTTCTTGAAAAATCTGACTGAAAGGTCTTCTAAATAATAACATAAAACAGTAATCGGTACTGATATTCAGACAATAGCGAATTCTATATACTTTATTTCTCAAGGTAATAGCGTACAGTCTATTTATTGCATATCATTAAAAAAATACATTGATTATAAAAACTGTACAAATGTTAATTCTGTCACTCACTAAAATGGCAATGGCATTATTTCTCTGATTGTACCAAACAAAATGTAAACCATGGAATTAGAAAATGACATTGCGTTTCAAGTTTGTCCTAAATCGAGAAAGCAAACTTCTTTGTGTCCACGTCACGTGATCCCTTGCCGGCATGCGGCGATGTTGTCATGCTTTGCTCGTGGCTTTGTTGTGCAGGCGGGTCCGCGTGGGCTCGGTGAGCACCAAGGGCTCCTGGATGACGGCGGCCGGGTACTTCCTCCCCAGCAGCTCCACCTCCACCTTGTGGCCGACCGAGGACAGCTCCACGGGCAGATAGGCAAACGCCAGGCTGTGGTGGGCGCTGTAGCTGTAGGCCCCCGATGTGGTGTTGCCCACCACCTGATTGAATAGAAGCGGGTGAGCGAGATGGTGGGGCGGGTGGGGAATGGGGATGGGGAAGTGGGAGGGAGCGGCTCGGATTGCAAATTGGGTGGAAACCTTTTGATGACTTTTCATGAGAATTTGGGGGAATTTTGGAAATCTTCCAAATTGGAAATTTTTCATGGGAATTTATGTGAATCTGTCAAATCTGTAGTTGGAGAATGGTGCGAGCAAGGGTCTTCTGCCCCCTTCCTCAAAGTGATGTTATCTTCTGTAAATCTATCTAAATATAAACATTTTGTTGTCATAAGCAGGCATCTACGCAAAACAGATTGCTCATACAGCATATGCAAATAAACAACTCTTTGAATTGGTGTTTCTTCTCATGGGGAGTCTCTAACTTTGAAAACACAAGGGATTTTGCAACCCGATCAGCAGCTGACAGTGGCGGTGCGGTGTCTAACCTTTCCGTCGAGCCACACCGTCTCGTTGCCCTCGGGGTCAACGTCCTGCGTCTCCACTGCAAGGTATGACAATTTCCTCTTCAGGCCCTTGGCTTTTATCTCCTGAAGCGCCGCCTTGCCGATGAAGTCGGCGGCCTGTTACCCCCACAAAAAAAGAAAATAATAGGTGTTGTGATTCAAAGTGTAGTGACAGGGAACCCCATTTTATTGCCTTTAAAAAAAATTTAATCTCGTCTTTTTGTATCGTGGATTTACAACAATCGCTGGTGCGCCTGGAACAAATCCCAACCGGAAACGGGGGGTTGAGCAACTGCGTGCTGGCTTGGCTAACAAATGGACGGAAGCAGGAAGACACACGATGATGACAGCGGCAGAAGAGTTGCTCGCGTAACGGCTAGCTTTGTTAGCATGTCAATCACAAGTTGCTTGATACATGACGGACTGAGGAACGCCGGCAGAGGCGGCAAATTGCTAACGCAAAGATGAAGTCAGAAGAGTCGCGAGCTCGCGGAGCAGCTTGTTAACCAAGCTAAGGTTTCACGGTCTTACCTTGTTGAGTTTGATGAAGTAATCTAAGCCCGCCTCCAGAGGGTTGGTGTCACAGTTCATCTAGAGAGACGAGCAACGGAATGATGAAAAAAAAAGCCTTTGAAAACGGATGCGCGCGTCAGTCTTTGTACCTCGGCTCCCCAGCCTCTGAAGCCCTTCTCCAGCCTGAGGGAGGCCATGGCATAGGTGCCGAAGTTGTCGATGCCGTCCTCTCTTCCCGCATCCATGATGGCCTGATAAACTGCCGCCATGTCCCTCTGGTCGATGTACAGCTCCCATCCCAGTTCGCCTGAGTGCCACGTGCACCGGAGAGGTCAACAACAATGCACAACAACATAGGAACCCCACCCCACCACCCTCTCCAAAAACAAAAAAAACAGAGCCCTTGTTTTTTATTCTTGCACAACAGGTTTTCATAATAAGGATCCAATAATAATATCATGATTATAATGAATTAAAGGTCAACTTCAGTAACAGGTGGAATTGTTTTCTGAAACGTCACAGCTCGAAATGACAACGCCTGTTGTGCATGGTCAAACCTGTGCTAGAAAAAAAGTAAAGACATTTTTCAAATCTGCCCCCCACCCCAAAAAAAAAGGTTTCGGGACACATGTAAGCAACAAAACAGAAAATAACATCAAGACAATACGTGAAAAAAAGTAGACATTTTTCAAATCTGCCCCGCCCCCTTAAAAAAAATTAAAAAAAAAAGGTTTCGGGACACATGAAAGCAACAAAACAGAAAATAACATCAAGACAATACGACAAAAGAAAATCGCCCGGGCCGCGTACCCGTGTAGGAGATCCTGATGGCTCGAAGCACAACACCGGCCAACTGGATCGACTTGCACTGGAGAAATTTAAACGCTGAATGGCTCATGTCCTCCTGGGTGAGCTTTTGAAGGACCTTGCGGGAGTTGGGTCCGGCCACCCCCAGCACGCCGATTGCTTCCGTCACGTTGGTGATGTCAACGTCGTAGCTGCCGACAGCCGCCTCTGTCTCGATCCACCTGTTGGACAAAGGAAACGGTCGCATAGTGACGTACGTCGTCCCAGTCCCAAACAAGCACGCACAGAAGCTCAACGCACACCAGAGCGTTGTTGGAGAGTGCGGCCCGGCAAAGACGTTTTCTCTCCCAGACTGCATTTCAGCACCGGTTTGAGAAGCGTTATCAAAAAATGTGTCAAAAGAGTCGGCGGTTGCGTTGGCGGGTTCTGTCACGCCAACTACCAATAATCGCTTGAGACTGACGAGCAGCAAAATCTTCTCCTCCTTATCTGACAATATTCTTTGCCAAGCGTTCAAAGTCAGAGAGTAATTAGCGCAATTTAGTTCGGAAAGTCCGCTTTGTTTAGAAGCTGGTTCGAGCGCAGGAATTATGGAATATTCTGCACGTTCGGGAGTTGGGTGATCAGCAAATGTTGTCGGCATGAGGATGTTAGCATGGTTGAATACATTCCAATCGTGATCGTCATCAAGTCGATGTGCAGTGCGCCAGATCGACTGGAGGGGCAACGTGTGGAAATTGGGCCAGATTGCCGTGAGAGTCCGCTGCGGGAAACCGATCGGGAGGGGGGTTCAAAATGAAGCCTCTGATTTACGGGCTGCTGTTTGCAGCCAAAGGCGGGGCTGTGCTAGCAGCTGCCGCAACGTTTTGGGTTTCGACCATTGTAGCAGACTTGCGCATGGCATCGTTTCAAGGGGCGTCGCTGAAGCTTTCAAATCCGTGTTCTCTCGTACCATTTTGTCCATTGCATAACGTTACTAGAATTCATTTGTCCACACTCAATGTTTTGCCCGTTTCACGCTGCCAACAATAAGGCAACGGCAAGAGACGTCTTCTCAGCGCGGTATCGTTTTCACCTGAGGTCGTGGAGCTCCGATCCTGAACCGGTGATGAGCAAAAACTCTCCCGGCGCCACCTGGGTAACGGTGACTTCAGCGTAGACTCTCCCGGCGGGCGTCAACATGTGGCTGATGTTGGTCTGGCCCACCTGAAAGCACGAGAGCGTGACGCCCGGGCCGTTCGGCCTGACCGCCGCGGTTGGAGGAGGGCTCTCACCTTGGGCATGGTGTTAGCGAACAAGCGGTCCAGCAACTTGTGAGAGTCCTTGCCTTTCACGATGAATTTGCCAAAAGGGCTCAGGTCTATCACGCCCACCTTCTCCATCACGAGCTTGCACTCTCTGCCGACGGGTTCGAACCAGTTGGTGCGCCTGAAGCTGGGCCTGGCCACGGAAGCCAAGAAAAATCAGCGCGCAACTCGTCTCGGCTCCCGGAGCCATCGCCATCTTACTTGTATCCGGTGTCGTCTCCCGGTTTGTAAAACCAGTGAGGCTGCTCCCAGCCGGCATGGAAGCCCATGGATGATTTGTCCTTGAGAAGATCATAAACGCCGCTCCTGCGGTAGGTCGGCCGCCCCGCAAAGCGCTCCTCCTTGGGGTAGCCGACTAGGGAGACAAGGAGTTGAGGCCCGTGTCATTTGGTTCTCTGGTCAGCACCAAACCAGATTTATCACGATGTCACAACAATCACCCATGTTCTTCCGGGTGACAAAAATCAAAGCGGATCGATTGTTCTTACCCACGTTATTGAAGCCGTAGGATTCCCGGGCTTTGGCGCACAGGAACGGTACGTCGACCCAGCTTCCGTAGCGGTTGGGGTCACATTCGATCAGGTCGTACGGAGGCTCGCCGTTTCTAATCCAGTCGCTCAGGAATTTCCCAACCCCGCCAGCGTGGATCACTCCATACCTGAGCACACGAGGCGGTGGGAACGGGCGTTGCCGTTGCCGCCGAAATCCCGTCCCTCGCGACCATACCCGAATCCGATGGCCGTCCAGTAGTTGCGAACTCCTTGATGCGGTCCGAGCATGGGCAGTAGGTCGGGGGTGTACGTGATCGGGCCGGACACGATATTGATGATGTCGGCCTTCTTTAGCACGGGGACCATCTCCATGGCCATTTCCACGTGCTCCATGATCCGGTCCAGGTCCGACTCAAACAGCTCCTTGCCGAAACCTGGAGCAGTGCGACAGAATCTTTCATGACTTGCAACCTCCCGGCCTGTTCATGGACGGTTAACTAAAGGAGGGCCGAGGAGACGACGGGGAGGACACGATCGAGCTACTAGGTCTCACAGGGAATGCCTCGGTGTAAAATCCGTTCCCCATTAGGAGACCATCTTCAATTTTGTCCATTTCCGGTTTCTTCCCGTTTATTCCCACAGATTCCCCTTAATTACGTGTCAAGTTTCCAACTTTCCAAAATTCTGTAACCCTCGACCAGAGATGGGGAGGTCCAGGCTTCCCTGCTCGGACCGTAGCCACGACCCGGATAAGCGTAAGACAAAGGTTTCTTGCGAGCGCACAGACCCGGGGGTACGCCGTCTCGAACCCAAGAGTCTTGCAGGACCATCTTCTCCATCTTTTCATAGGGCCCAAAGAGAAGGCCGTCCCTTTCCTGCCGCAGGTAGTACGAGCCCTCCAGGTCTCGGATGACGGCCAGCTCCTTCTTCAGGGCCTTGACCTCTGGCACGGTCGCGGTCACCACGTACTGGTGATGCACCGGAATGGTCGGATGCTCAAAACCAATCAACTTTCCCACCTCGCGGGCCCAGAAACCTGAAACGACAGACGTGGACGGGGGTTAACTGGCAGTGAACGCTCATCGTGAGTTTCAATATCAGTCTGCTAGACTTGAAAGTATGCGAAGAGGACATCAAAATGAACGATCATGGCAACAAATTCGGAAACGCGCGATACCGTATTCCCCATTCGTGGCGACAATTGTTCAGACAATTGTTGAAGGTTCTCAGCTCCAACAAGTTTTTAATTTCTCGATCAACTTATCTGGAAAAAAAAAAGAAGTAAGATCTGTTTTGTTGGTAAAGTGTCCCTTGTTATCTTCAACTAACAAAGCAATTTTTGTTACTCGCTTTCAAATGGAAGCAAAGCTATGGCAACACGTTTTGGAGTCCGTCCGACGCTAGCTTGCACTTTTAAATATTACAAGAAACGAGACAGGTGCTGTGATTTATTTGTTTTATTTTTAAGATGGATGTAAATTAATAAGAGGGAAACGATGAAGTCTATTTCAACCTGTCCTTTTACTTTTCTTTGTCTTTGTTTCCACATATAGTCAGTGTAATTGCTTCCGATTTACTTCCACCGATGCCCACACTTGCTCAATGCGTGAAAAATATCTCCAGGTCATGTGTCGCCATTGTGTGATGTAATTCAAAAATATCGGTAAAGTCCAAGGTGCGTGTGTACTCGCCACCTGAACGCTGGATCACTGAGTCAATAAAATGTACTTGACTGATAAAAGCTCACCAAAACGAAGCTCGCGCATGTCCAGCAAGCAGCTGTCAATTCCAGGCCAGTTGGTGAAGTTATATTTATCATGGCCGGCGATACGAGGCAAATATGTTGAAACTGATCTTATTGGGTCACATAGCAGAGGACTCGTTGACTCATCTGAGCTCCGATGCCAACTTCGGCTGACGCTCCCTACGTTCTGGCAACTACTTTACCCACGCACGTACTTTTTGTCATTTTAGTCAACTACTTTTTAGATCTTTGCTTTGAACTATCTTGCCTTGCCCTGATGGCGCTGTCGAGCTCATTCTGGCGAGGTTTTAGGAGGAAGCTGATCCGCAGCTTTTTTTTGAATTGCCCAGTGCGGTGAACACCGGCGATGATTTGGCCCTTGGTTTTGACCCAAGCATTTATCAAGGAAGGGAACTACTAACTCCGCCTATTCCTGCCAGCAAAATGTCATCTAATTTTAGCAGATCCTTGCGGCTGATACTGCATTCCATCATCGGAGATTTGTGCTGCTTTTCTACAGGGACGTAACTACCTTAGCTTAGCCACGCTTGTAATCTAGGCCGGTACCGTTTTTGATGGTTTACTCCGATGTTAATTATTGGACAATGCTGGCGAGTGGGTTCCAGAGAATGGCTGCCGAAAAACAAGCATGCCAACAAAATCCCTTCTGAAAACCGCCGGGACCCGGTTGGCGTTAGTTTTCCCTGAACTCACCCAGCCGTGGTCCGTGGGTACAAAAGTCAAGAGTTAGATAAGACTTTTTTGATGGAATGCTGGCTGAAAGTGTGTCGACTGCGGTGTGCCCTCAAACTTCCTACGCTGAGTAAAGCTTTTGCAGAGGGCAGAAGCAGGTACACGACTCACAACAAGTTAAGATTACGGGGCTTCCAGGTGACATTTCAGGATGAACCTAAAATGCACCACAGCATCACCTTTACAGGTGAACTTAATTGGACCAAACCTTTACATTGTACGTTTCAGTTTTTTTCCACACAACCGGCTGTTCTCTCACAAGGAGCCGAATGGCAAAATACACCTCAGGTATTTTTACCCGTTTTCAAGAATGTCCACTTCTATTCCTTTGTGGGACTTTTCCAGTCTCTCTGTTGCAGCCCGCTCAGTGGGGACTTGCCTCTGAGAACATCTTGCTGGAAGCCTCACGCAAGTCTCGAGCAGGGCCGAGCCCAAAATGTTCACACGCAGGACGATTGGGTTCAAACCTGTGGCATTGACGACTCGGTTGGCCCGGATGGTTCCGTGAGGCGTCTGTACATCCCATTTGCCGTCGGCCGTGGGTACGAGGCCCGTGACCGGGGCCGGGTTGTAGATCTGAGCGCCGTACATGCGAGCGCCCGCAGCCAGCGCCATGGTCAAAGAGTAAGGGTCGATGTGGCCGTCTCCCGGCGTGTACAGACCAGCCAAGACCTAAAACCGGTGGACACCGACCACAAAAGGCTCAACAAGGACGGGTCAGGGTTAGGAGAGTTAGGGGAAGGGTGGTCAAGGTTAGGAGGGTTGCTTTCGATTTCAAGTTAGCACGGTTAGGTTCGGTCTTCGTTTGGCCCACGTGGCACAATTAGCAAACCTCGTATTCTGAGTTCACGGGCTATCAAGTCAAAGCCTTGACGGGATACATCTCACATGCACGCAGAGTCTAGTCCTGACTCACGTTCGGACTCTACCTTGTCCATGTTGAGCAGAGGGAAGAGCTCCTGGACCTTCTCGGGCCCAATCATGTACTGCTCCGTCACGTGCCAGTGGGTGCGGGTCATCTGGTACCTCATCTCGTCCACACGGGCGGCCGTCGACGCGATGCGGACGCTGCCCGGCTGGTGGAAGCCCACCGCCTGCTCACGCCGAGACCAAACGTGCCAGAATTTGTCTGCGTGAACGCTCAAGTCATCGAGATCTACAAAGGTTGAGTGGAAGCAACTGGACTCTTCTTGCCATTTCATCACCTTTCATCAACAGTTCGAAATGATCCGTCTAAATGATCCCCCTTTGTCTTTTGTAGGCGTTTGCATCCCAAAAGAAGGGACTTGACTTTCCTTTCTTGACGGGATGTGGACCACCGGCTTGAAAGAAGCCACACAAGAGAAAGGTTTTTGCAGTCAAGTCCAAACATCTCTCCGCCAATGATTGACTCACTCAATGAGAAAAGAGGCCACCAACGAGCTATTTTTCCAACGAGCTGGTGAAGGACCGGTTGCTTTTCGAAACGCGCATTCACGCAGCAGAGAACCGTCGTCGAAACGTCTTTGACGGCCAAGAACAATCCGGTTGCCTCAACTCAACTTTTGCCGAGTGCCACTACTGAGCGTCTTCGGACAGACCGACCGAGACTCGGGGAGCTCACCTGTCCGGTCTCGGCTTCCAGCCGCTCGTACAGTTTAATGCTGTCATAGTGGACTTTCTTGAGGTTGATGCCTGGATGGTAATAGGTGGTCAATCCAGCCTAGGATGGCGAAAACCACAAATCACACTCAACTTGCTGTGCCCGATACCTGAAGCATGCAACGACGGCAATAAGGCACACTTTTTGGAATGGCAGATGTGCAAGTTCAACGTCACAGCATACTGCTGGGTCGCAAGGTTGGAACACCCAACAAAGTCCTTTTTCCCAAAATACAACCGAAGCAACTTTCGCTTCCAGACGCAAATTTTCAAAGCAAAACGGCAAATCTCGTCAAGTCACGCACTTCAAGTCCAAGTCAAGCGGAGTCATAATGCGCAAAGCAAAACGGCAGGCCCAGTACCGCGTGCCAAGTGGATCCGGCGGTCAGTTCGGACTTCTCCAGCAGCACCACGTCCTTCATGCCGCTTTTGGCCAGGTGGTAGGCCACGCTGGTGCCCACGCAGCCCCCTCCGATGACCACCGTCTCGGCCGTCTCCTTCCATCGCTTGCCCAATGCGGAAGACGGGTCACTGACGGGATGGGGAAGAACACATGGCGCAAACCTTTTTTTACAGGGGTGAGCGGCTCGCAGACTTCTTTGTGCTTTGATTGCCATGTTGAACTTCCAGTGATCGGTGCAAGCGTGGCAGAGCAATTAAAGCAAAGTTAACACACTTGCTCCCCAAGTTTTTTTTTTTTTGAGTTGTTCCATGATAAAATATAACTACGTGTTGACAAACTTGGGAAAAGTGACATCTAATTGTGAGGTAAGTTACAGAAACATATTTTAGCTATTTTTTTTCTCGTGATTATTCATTGAAAAAAATGAATGTTCGGATAATGCCTAAAAAAATATATCAGCAAATATATGAATTCGTATTGGGATGAAAGCACTGTGCATAGCGCTGCTTTAGGTCCAAGTATTTTGTTCTTCTTCTAAAAAAAATGCAAGCAAAGAGTAAATCAACGGCGCCTCTGCTGGTCGCAGCCGAGCATTGAAATACCTTTGCGTGCATTCCTTGCCGTCCGTCACCATTTGTCTTCATTTTCAATGCAGTGGAGCTTTTTTTGTGTGTGTGTGTGCTTGCAAAAAACAAGTCAGTCAGCCGGTGGTCCGTCTCACCTTTGCTCATCTCGTTTTCTCGCCGTGCAGCCGAACGTCCGCGAAGGCTGAAGCAGGGGAAGTGGACAGAAAGGCCTCCTGGAGCGCAGGTGCACTGTGAGCAGCTTCAACATGCGAGCAGACATGACTCCCGTACAAAGAAAAAAAAAAAAGCCACCGGCTGGAGAAGTTGACGGTGGAGTTATAAATGCTTCGCTGGCTCTCCCAATTGGCCTTTGGACCCGCCCCTGCGGGGTCGTCGGGCGTCTGAGGACGTGACTTTAACTCTCCCCCGCAGGCCTCTCCAATGTAGGTCACACACACACACGCACGCACGCACGCACACACACACACACACACACACACACACACACACACACGCACACACACACACAAAAATGTAAAATGGACTTTTGAAAGTCACGAAATAAATAGATTGATTCAAATGAAAAAAAGCAAGCGTCTCCTTTCTAAACCAAACAGAATGCTTGGATCATAAACGACACAAGCGGAGCAAATCTAGTACCTGGTCTACAAGGGCTGAATGAGGTTGAATTCCCACAGAAACGCGTTTTATCTCTGTGCTCATTAAGCTTTTTTTTTTTTTTTTTTTTTTTTTTAATCGCTTCAACAAACCTGCTTGGAACGAGTCTGAAGTGAGAAAGAGGGGGTGGGACGCTGCTCCTGAGAACAGCATAACATATGAAAACAACTTGACTTTATCTCGCTGTCTTTATTCCAGTGAGAATGCAAGACGCTGACATTATTGCTCCTCACGATATGCGTTTTGAGATCATCTGTGTAAAGTTGCGTCACAGCAACACAGCAGCCTCGTATTGAAAAAAAAAAAAATCCCCAAATGCGTGAATCCCCAGGCACAGGCATTTATTCTTTGTCCTCGGCAAAGAGCAACAAATATGACTGCGGGTGACTGGACCTGGCTATGACAATCTCCATGTATAGTCATATGTCTGTACGATACCGCCCCCATGTGGACAAGGTGTAAACACCAAAAGGATCAGCACAATGTCTATCGGTGGAAAGATGCGGTCCGCTTCTCAGCGGGAATTCACGTCTCTGTGGCGGTCCTGGCATGCATGGCCTGATGTGCCATGAGAGCTTATCGAGAATTTCAAGACGGGTCTCACTTCTCCCCGTCTTGCTATCATGTGTCAGGGATTGTTTGTTTGTTTGTTTGTTTACGGAACATACGGGCAGATCACTGAAAATTGGTGGGTGGTAAAAAAAAAAAGAAAAGAAAATAGTCATTGTTCAGCACGAAGGCAGTCAAAAATGCATCTAGTCCTACCCATTGTTCTTTATGAATTTTAACTTGTTTGATATTCAGAACATAACTCAACTCAACTGTATTTATAGAGCTTGTTCATTTAATCTCAATCTGAAAAGACAAGGCCCTTGTGGATGAGCAATTGAGGAGTGCAACGAATGGCTAATGCTATGTAAGCTAGCAAACCATCAGTTAGCATATGACGGGTCACGGTTGTCATCAAACTGAACAGTAACTTCACTTGGGGTTTCAAGATAAAAAAAAAAAAAAAAAAAACAGAACGAATACTACACTACAAGTTACATACTTCTTAGGCGTCGGGTAAGTCACTATTGAATTGGAAAAAGGTGTTATTTTTTTCTTCAACGGGTCAGGAATATTTGGATTCACGGTTCGTACATGATGCGCGAAGCTGAGGAAGGGATCGGATATCGCTGGTTGAACTAAGTGTGTTGACACTTGGTGAGCAAAGTGTGACAGGGGGAGGTTGGAGCGCAACCATGGCACCGGCAGCGACAAAGAAGGTACAAGCAAGCGTCAAATCTTACACTGCATGCTCTGTGATTTGTGACTTGACTTCAGGATTCTGTTTTTTTTCTGTCCAAATTGACCGAAAATGGCTGTCTCTTGTGACTTGACTTCAGGATTCGGGGTTTTTTTCTGTCCAAATTGACCGAAAATGGCTGTCTGTACTTTCTTACTGCTAATGGGTCTAAATGGGGTTTTGAGAACATGTTATTTTGATTGCGTGTTGATTTGAGTTCATGAAACTGGATCTATTTCAAGCAACAGGGGATATTCTGCATGTCCTATTTATCCTCAAATCCTATTGGTACACGCTACGATTCCCCCTCGCCCGAAAAAAGATGGCCGACGCTGTATTTAAACCTTATTTCCTCAAAGTCATAGCTTGCTGTACAGGCAGGACGTTTCAGGATGTCAGCCATTTTGTTCAGTCAGTTCAATTTGTCCTCGTTGACTTGGTGGACGTTTCTCCAGCCACACGAGTGGAATCTGTACTTTTGCTTTGACGCGCAAGTATCAGTGCTTGGACTTAGTCACCTCTGATGTGGACTTTGTGGCTACCCAGGGCATCCTGGAGCGACTGGACGCCGGCGAGGTGGTCATCGGCGATGGCGGCTTCGTCTTCGCCCTGGAGAAGCGAGGCTACGTCAAGGCGGGGCCGTGGACGCCCGAGGCCGCCTCCGAGCACCCCGAAGCCGGTATCCCCTTCGTCTGAAACGCCCTTTTGAACGTTTTGTTATGGTCGTGGAGGAGTTAGTCACAGTCGCCAACTCGGGAGCCCGGGTCCTTCTCCTTCAGCGCTAACGTGTCCTGTAGATGGAGCCAAAGCTGTCAATCAAATCTTGAACGGCGTTGTGTTTTCACCACTCTTTTGCAGTGCGGCAGCTGCACAGGGAGTTCCTCAGGGCGGGATCCAACGTCATGCAAACTTTTACCTTCTACGCCAGCGACGACAAGCTGGAGAACAGGGGCCACACCCAGTGCTTCACCGTGAGTGCCGATTCTCTTCCCTTGTGATGGAGTTCGGTTAGCGGAGCGCTCGGCCGATGGAATAATATCAGCCACCGACCCAGATCTTGCACCGCAAACGAAAATGAAAATGTTGAGCCTCCGCAGGATGGTCATCTCAGCTGAGCCGCTAGCTTTTCTGACCGGGTTTCTATATTTGCGGCTGCTGGCCGGCCTCATGCGCTTGGGGGGCGGAGGGGATAGCATGTCATTTGAACCCACTCCTTCGCTGTGCTTTAATTTTCCCGCCTGCAGGGGCAGCAAATCAACGAAGCAGCGTGCGACCTGGCCAGACAGGTGGCCGACGAGGGCGATGCCCTGGTGGCGGGCGGCGTGTCTCAGACGCCCTCGTACCTCAGCTGCAAGAGCCAGGACGATGTCAAGGCCATCTTCAAGAAGCAGATGGAAGTTTTTATGCGCAAGAACGTTGATTTCTTGATCGCTGAGGTATTGAAACGGACGCAACACGAAGGACGCCGCATCCGGCCGATGAATGCCTCACCTCATTACCACGTGGCGGTCGTCGCCTTTACTGGGACATTTGATACCAATCACATGTGGGAGAGGTTTTTATGAGCGATGGGCGGGTACCGAACCAAGTATCGCCGTGGGTCGCCACAGGCCGCCACAGGCCTTATTTTAAGCTTATGGAGGCTGCCGATCCCAGCCACCGATACTTGAGGCCCAAAAAATATAGATCTGCCATCCAGTGAGTCCTCCTCAGCCCTAGTTGGCGCTATTCTGTGCCAGTTGGACACGTTGGTGAATCATCAACCGTGTCAGAAAGAAAGGTCTTTGTTCAAAAGTTTTGAAAATCAAAAGTACAAGAGGTATCGGGAATTGGTATCGGTGAGTATCCAAAGAGTGAATATTCGTACTGGTATCGGTCAGAAAAAAATCATGTTAAAAAGTGGTATCGACTGTCCCTAGTTTTGACCACAACGCATTTAGAAGTGGCATCTGCACGGCGCATTATCGTCCTCCTTGTCGTCATTATTTGTAATACATTATTTTTTAATGACTTGCCATTGATTTATGTGGGAAAACATTCACAGAATTTAAATATTTGTGATGAAACATTTGGATACAAGCTGTCTACTGTACATCCCCACTGCATATGTCTGAATGAATACACACGCATGACGATAGAATAAAAAACAAAGAAAGCCTCACATCTAATCTGAAATTTTTAAAAATGAACACGCATCGATCTTATGTTTTGTTTTGTTTTTTTGCCTGCAGTACTTTGAGCACGTGGAGGAGGCAGAGTGGGCGGTGGAGGTCCTGAAAAGCACGGGCAAGCCGGTGGCGGCCACGCTGTGCATCGGACCCGAGGGCGACCTGAACGGAGTCAGCCCGGGAGAGTGCGCCGTCCGCCTCGTCAGAGCCGGTACGAAAAGGTCACGCGGGAGATATTGCGCGGCGCTTTTCAACCCTCCCCGCCTCCCTCGCTCGCAGGTGCGGACATCGTGGGCGTCAACTGCCACTTTGACCCGGCCACTTGCGTGCGCACGGTGGCCATGATGAAGGCGGGCGTGGAGAAGGCCGGCCTGAAGGCGCACTACATGAGCCAGCCGCTCGCCTACCACACGCCCGACTGCAACAAACAGGGATTCATTGACCTGCCCGAGTTCCCCTTCAGTACGTACCACTCCACAAGTCATGCAGCTGGAATTTCTAGAATTAAAAAAGAGGGGAACCTGCTGCGGTAGTAAATGCAGCACCTTGAGAAAATTGTCCCCCGCCAGGTCTGGAGCCGAGGATCCTGACCCGCTGGGACATGCAGAAGTACGCCCGGGAAGCGTACGCCGCCGGCATCCGTTACATCGGCGGCTGCTGCGGCTTCGAGCCCTACCACGTGCGCGCCCTGGCCGAGGAGCTGGCACCTGAGAGGGGCTTCCTGCCGGCGGGCTCCGACAAGCACGGCCTGTGGGGCAGCGGGCTGGAGATGCACACCAAGCCCTGGTGCAGAGCCAGGTACCATATTATGGCACCGCCACATCAAATATCCGCGTGGCGCAAACCGACGCGCCGATTCGAAACGGCACGGCTGCGACTATCGAGATCGCTGCCGTCGTGGTTGACGCTCTTTTCTTGGCAAAAGGTATTGGTCAATGGAATCAAATGTGGATAGCACCCTTATGTATTGCTCAATACACCAGATCAAATACCGACATTGTCGCTCACCGACGTCACGACATTGTAACTTTCAACGGTACAAATGTAAACAATACAGTAACGACAAAACTTGAAATAAAATGCCGGTATGACTGCGATACAATGACAAAATATTGAAAATACTGCAGTACCGTATCAATACGCCAGACTAGTTGACTGGGTAATTTTTGTCCCGTCTCGGTTGAGTATGTCTTGATTTCTAGTACCTCGACAGATGTGGTATTATTCGTCGTACTATATCTTCGAATTTCTTGCAGAGTGACGGTTCTGTTACCTTGGCAGACCGGGTACTACTATCGAGTACCTGGGCTGACCAAGGTAAAATGTTGCCAAGTCATCCAAGAGACGACTAGGTATTATTTCAGGTTGAAGTTGCGTTCAAAGCAAACGTCGCCCACCTCAGCGTTTATGCTTCAGGGCCCGCCGGGACTACTGGGAGAAGCTGAAGCCGGCGTCGGGTCGCCCCCTGTGTCCTTCTATGTCGACGCCCGACGGCTGGGGGATCACCAAAGGTCACGCCGACCTCATGCAGCAGAAAGAAGCCACCAGCAAGGAGCAGCTCCAGGTTCTGTTCCACAAGGCCGACAAAGGCCAGTGAGAACCAGTCACGTGTGGGAATGTCATTTTTACAACAACATTAAATAGATACAAAACCTTCATTTCACGTCTTCTGGATTCTTCTTCGAGGATTTGTTGCACTTCTTTATCCCAGCCCATGGCTCCAACCTAAAATGGGCCCGCGAAGGAATACAATGCTGACATCTTCTGGACAGTTGAAAAATTACCTGACTATGTACTACTGTATTTATCGTCTCTTGGGTGACCAGGTCGTCATTCTAGTACTTAGGCAGACCTTGTACAATACCTGGTAACTTGACTAATCGAGTACTACTTTTAATAACTAGTCTGTCGGCTGACCGGGTACTATTTTAAGTACCTCGAATGACCAAGTACTAATTCTCGTACGTTGGCTGGCCAGATATATTATTCCTAGTACCTACAATACTGTATCTGGTAGTACCCAATTGATTTGTGGGATATTTTTTCGAGTACCTTGGCTGACCAGTTGTTGATTTCGAGTACATTGGCTAACCAGGTACTATTTCTTATGCCTCAGCTGAAAGGCTACTTTTTGTACAACCTTGACTGTGCAGGTACAATATCATGTCTCTTGACTGACCAGCTACTATTTTACATGAGGTGCTCCATCTTTGATGTTGGCTGTCAAGTGCAGTGGCGAATTGAATCAATATCTAGTAGTGTCAATTGCTTGACAAGTTACTCCTTGACTGACTGGGTGTTATTTTTAGTATCTTACTTGACTGGGTACTTTTTGTAATTCCCTGCTGGGCCAGGTTCAAATTCAAATACATGTACACGGTGGCGAGCCAAAAATAACATTTGTTCAACAGCTTGCCTTTGGGTGATATATAATTTGATGAGGTGTCACAATTTCTTATGGTTATTTATTACAGATATACTAATTAGGATAACTATTGACTTTTAAGTCAAGTTTTGGGGCATCGCCATGTTATTCGATAATTCAACCCCGGAAGCAACTGCACCATACGTTACGTAAATAGGCACATCGTTTTATATATATAGCTAGCTAAAGTTACACGTCGCGAAAAATATTTTACAATATCGACTCGTATAATTAAAGTTTATAAAACAGCTCCTATGCGCTTCGTCCGGAAGAAAAAAACTTTTTGTGTCGAATTCCAATCACGGGGAAATATGAAAGACTAGCGTCGCTTGCAATTTACTTCAAACCTCTTGGCTTGCCGTAGAATGCTCTCAGCCGTAAGGCCCGCCTCATTATATAGATAGCTAGCTAAAGTTACACGTCGCGAAAAATATTTTACAATATCGACTCGTGTAATTAAAGTTCATAAAACAGCTCCCAGGCGCTTCGTGCGGAAGAAAAAAGACTTTTTGTGTCGAATTCCAATTCACGGGGAAATATTAAAGACTAGCGTCGCTTACAATTTACTTCAAACCTCTCGAGTTGCCGTAGAATGCTCTCAGCCGTAAGGCCCGCCTCCTCGGTACCGCAGTCAAATTTGCGCGATGACGTCATGGGTTTTCCACGTGCAGATGTTTATGCTCCTCGTGCTGGTCCAGACATCAAGAGAGAGAGAACATAAGGGTCCAGATTCACATCTGCTTCACGAAACATATGTATTCATTTAATCGCTCATACATAAATGACATCGAATGAGAAGAAATATTCGATGACTGATTGATGTGGATCCTGCTTAGTTGCAGCCACTTGTTGGAAGTAAAATGTAAACGTAGTATTTTCCTTGTGGTCACTGAAGGTAGCAGCCCTCCTCCAGTTTTAACACGCACGCGCTCGCCTCGGAAACCAGACTGACGGGATTCATTTCTAATACATGTACATTACTGACTACTAGGTATCACCAGTACCTTGACGATCCATGTCTATTTCTAGTACCTCTTTGATTAGGTACTATTTTCTTGTACCTCGTGTGATTGGGTACGAATTGACAGTTCCTTGATTACCCGCTACCATTTCAATTCCTCTGGCAATTGGTAACTTTCTCGTATGTTGATTGACCAGGTGCTGATTTTTAGTATCTTGGCTGACTGGGTATTACATTCTAGTATGACTTACAAAGGCTTACAAAGTACTAACCTGTCGTCCGTCGGTGCCATTTTTGATTCTGACTGTACATGTCCAATTTTCTCGTTGGCTCTTGAACGCGGCAGCTCCCCTCCGGATTTCGCGTGCACGCGCTCGGCTTGTAAACACAAACTCACACGTGACGGCGTTGAAGCTGAGGTGATCTGATTCGTCGACGTCGTCGTCACGGACACAACAAAAGAAAACTAACGAGAAAAGGTTCGAAAGAACCCAGCGGACTGAACGGAGCCGAGCGGGCCGAGGGTGTCATGACAGCCGATTGGACGTGCGTCGTTCGGGCCTGCCTTCGTTCCGGGCCGCCGTTGGTTCGCGTGTCCGGCGGATCGTGCCGAGAGCCTTTGTTTCGGCCGCTTGTTTTGTGCTAATCGGCTTGGTAGCTTGTTTCTAATTGTACTTTTCCAGCTAGTTAGCATTAGCACTTAGCTTTAACAGCCTGGTAAGCCCCCCCACGTCCCCCGCGGTAACCGTCCGCCCGTTGTCAAGCTTCGGCTTCGATGTCCTTCGCCATGGAGGACAACCTGGAGTCCGGCTGGGTGTCCGTCCGGCCCAAAGCGTTCGACGAGAAAGAACGACACAAATTCGCTTTCATCGTGGCCTGGAACGACATCGAGGGAAAGTTCGCCATAACCTGCCATAACCGGACGGTCCAGAAGCGGACCACCTTCCTCGACCCGCTCCTCGACTGGAGCCCGGCCGCGGACGACGGGCTGCCCGGCGCGGCGTCGACGAAAGACGCCGGTCGTCCGGCGAAAGTTCGCCCGATGGGAAAAGTTGACGGTTGGGACTTAGTGTCGCCCAGGGTCACCGACGTGGAGTTCGTGGAACCTGCGGGGGCGCTCAGCTCCCCCGCCGAGGGCCGCGAGGCTGACGGCCGCCAGGATTTCAGCTGGGCCGGCCTCTTCTCGTTCCACGAGCTCCGGGCGGCTCACCTCCAGCTGTGCGCCGTCAACGCCGAGCTGGAGCCCTGCCTGCCGGCCTTCCCAGAGGAGCCGTCCGGCGTGTGGTCGGTGCTGTTCGGCGCCTCGGCCTCCTCGTCGTCGGAGCGGGAGACGGAGGCGCTGTGCTACCAGCTGCAGGTGTACCTGAGCCACGCTCTGGATACCTGCGGCTGGAAGATCTTCTCGCAGGTGCTCTTCGCCGACAGCGACGACATGGAGGAATACTACGAGAGTCTGAGCGAGCTGCGGAGGAAAGGCTACGAGGACGCCCTGGACCGAGCCAAGAGGCGCTTGCAGGAGGTCAGGGCACCGAATCGACGCGGCGAATAATCGTCAACAACTAAGGTCGTGCTTTTGATCACTTTTTAGACTCGGCGCTAGTACCTTCGCCGACCTGCTGCTCGTTTCTCGTGGCTGTCGAGGCACTCGTTGTAGTGACTTGCCCGAACGGATACCACTTGACAGACAACAAATCATTTTTAGTACGTTGATTAGTCGTAGTGCTATTAAACTTAGGACAAATTCACACGTTAATAATTTCTCGTACCGTGACTGAAAGAGACCCTCTTTTGACACAATCATCACAAACATCATTTTCGAGTAACTTGACTAATCAGGTCTTAATTTCTAGTTAGTTGACTAAGTAGTATTTGTCAGACCCGATACTATTTCTGAGAGACTTGGTTGACGGGCAACTACTTTCTTGGACCAGTCAGTCATGGTACTTAAAGCACTTTGCATAAGTCCAGTTGTACAAGGTATTACCTCTACTAGAAGTCGTGCTTTGCCTGATTGCGTATTATTTTCTACTACTTTGGCTTACTGGTACTACTCATCCGAAGTAAAAGTACTTGCTAGTACGTTTCTAGTAGGTTGACTAACCTGATACTATTTCTAGGACCTCAGTCGACTGGGTCCTATTTCTGGTACCTTAACTGACCTTGTACCGATATTGACTACCTTGGGTGGCGTGAGGACAATATCTATCTAGTAAGGGGTCAAATGAGTTCCCCAGTAATAAGAGTGCAGTAATAAAATTAAAAAAAAAATGCCTGGGGAAAATGGCAGCTAAAAAAAAAAAAAAAAAAAGCACAAGGACCACATTCCGTGTAAGTTCCTCATGATGTCATCGACAGCATCTTCTCAGAGGGAAGTGGCAACGGAGCTTAGAATAAGTTCCTCATGATGTCATCGGCAGCATGAGGTATTTTTCCATGAGTAAATATTTGGAGAAATGTGAAATCTCAGACGTGTTTGCGGTGATCACCGTGCGAGACCTGACGAGACAAAGACCTGACGCACGCCGGGGGCGCGACCGCCAAATAATTGTCCCCGGACGTGCCGGACAAGATTAGCTAGTGGAACCGGAGCCGAATGGCGACGCGTACGGTTGGCGAGTCCATCCTCGCAACCTAACCGATGGTTGAGTGGCGGCTTTGCATTTTCAAACCGGATCTTCTCAGAGGGAAGTGGCAACGGAGCTTAGAATGCCACAGACCGACGTCGATAGCTCACAGTTAGGTGGGCGAGACCGGAGGAGTCACAGAGAGGCATAGGAACAGACGTCCTTGGACGTTTTCAAGGCTCAGTCACCTGCCATTGCTCGGCTTGGTGCGCACAAATCGTAAAATCTTGTCTCAAAAACAGAGACGCGCATGAAATTTCTCTTCCGGTCTTCCTCTCGAAACAGGAGACAGGAACCGTGCGGGATCACACGTCATCCCGTAAAAACAAACGGCAGCAGACCGTCCTGGATTCACACCGATGTGAGCAAAGAGGACCGGAGGCGGGAGCCGCGTAGCGAAAAAAAATACTTTGGAAGTACTCCTTGTATACGTGCAGGCAAAAACAATCTTTTATAATTATACTACCGGTACCAAAAAAAAATA